AGGGATAAAATATTAATAACTTAAAAAGCTTTTATGAGAAAATTAGGATTTTAGCTACAGCGCTAGCCTACTAGGCCCTCGCTAGGCCTCCACTAAGGATTAACTAGATTAGTTAGCTAGGCCCTAAAAAGGGGCGCTACACACATAAGTAGCTAGAAAGGCTAACTTACTTAGTTTATAGCAATTTACCCTTATATTACTACCTTCTTATCCTTCCTTAGCCTAGCCTCCTAAGCTATATGTTTATAATTAAGCAAGTTCTACCCACTATAGGCAGCTAGCTCTAGAATAAGTAGCAGTATAAGATCTCACTAAGCTATTACTAATAACTTCATAGCACTAGGTAGTAAAAATTTTACTTCAGAAATAACTTCTAGGTTTAGAACCCCTCTAGCTATAGCTACTAATATAGCCCTAATCGCTAAGCTTATTGTAACTATTTAGCACTAAGCTGACTAAAACGACGCACTAATTAAGGCCCTCTCTAATTAACTAACCCTTATATTAGCCTCTAAAGCTTCTAAAATAGCTTAAGCCTATAAATATAAACGCCCACTAGTATATACTTACAGAGTCCTCACTAAAGATAGTACACTAGCCTAAATCTATAATTAGCTAATAGCTATAAGAGATAGTAATACCCTCTATCTTAGTACCTCTAAGGCCTAGAAGATCTATTAGGCACTTATAAGAGTAGCTACTACCCTATAAATATAGTAGTATAACTATTAGGCTAGCCTTATAGTAACTAAGCCTAATAGCTACAGCAGCCCTTAAGACCTTATGTAGGCTAACTTCTCAGTATTTATTCGCTAAGAATATATTAACGTTAGGCTCTAAGAGCGCTAGTTATATAGCCTACTTAATAGCCTCTAGTAGGAAGCTAATTAGTAACCTCTCTAGTTTTTTGCTAACTAGTTAGTAATACACTAAGCCCTTAGCATAAACTTTAAAGAGTCGCAAGCTTATACCTATATATTCTTTTTTTAACTTTTACCCTAGCTCTAATAAGCCCTCAAATAGCAGAAGTTTAATATATAGTAGCTGTATATTATAACCACTACTATAGAGCAGCTATAAGAGACTAACCTAGAGCAGTATAATCACTATAAGAGACCTAGTAAGCCTTCAGCGCTATAAATATAAGAGGCTACTACTAAACTAGCTCTAAAGAGGCTTTATTTTAACTATAGCACTTCTAGTGCACTAAATACTACCTACCTAAAGTGTAATAAAAGTAATCACTATAAGCCTAATTACTAAGCTAATAAGTAGTGCGAAATATACCACAAGAAGGGCTACCCCATAGAAGTATACTAGTATAAAGCTAACCCTTCAGTAGCTATAGCCTATACCTATATAAACGCTATATAGATATAGTAGCCTCTAGGCGTTAATAAGAATAGCTTCACTAGCCCTATCCTAGACTAGTAGATAAGCTATAAGCTAGATATATCAGAAGATAAGTAGCCGCTAAGCACTTAGGGGATAGTAAGTAAAGCTACTAGCGTATAGGTAAAAGACCTAAGGCTATATAGAAGCTAGCTTAGCCTACTAGTATATAAGTAAAAAACCTAAAGCTACACAGAAGGTAATAGACTATCCCTAGTAGCCTAAATACTACTAAAAGCCTATAGTACCTCTAGTAAAGCTAATAGCATATAAGTATAAGACCTAAAGCTATATAGAAGTAGCTAGCCTACTAGTATATAAATAAAAAACCTAAAGCTGCACAGAAGATAATAATAGAGCTACTAAGTGTCTAAGAGGCCTCTAGCAAAGCTAACAGCATATAAGTATAAAACCTAAGGCTATATAGAAGCAAAAGGACTAATAATAGGCGCTACAGAGGGTTTAAATCCCTATACAGGCAGGAGTTTTTATTATTTTTACTATAGATTAATAGACTTAGAGACTAAGCCCTCTAGAGGGGGGGTAATTATAAGAAAATTAGGATTTTAGCTATAGCGTTAGCCTACTAAGCCCTCATTAGGCCTCCGCTAAGGATTAACTAGATTAGTTAGCTAGGCCCTAAAAAGGGGCGCTACGCACGTAAGTAGCTAGAAAGGCTAACTTACCTAGTTTATAGTAATTTACCCCTATATTACTACCCTCTTATCCTTCCCTAGCCTAGCCTCTTAGGCTATATATTTATAGCTTTTAGATAGCTTTAAATATCTTCTAAATAAATAGGTATATAATAAAAAGGTTACTATAGATAGAAAACTTAATAAAGTTAGAGTAAAATAGGTTATCTATAATAATTTTTAAGATAAGGATAGTAAGATAGTTTATATTATTATTACTAATCTTATTACTCTATAAGTCTTTTTACTAATTATAGTACTTAAAGATCTAAAACTTTACTAAATTAATATAGTTATAACTTTCTTAAATACTTTTATAGGAGATTATAATATCTTTATTACTTAACCCTATAGGTTTAATAATAGATCTAGCTAGTTCTATAAATTAAAAAAAGCTCTCTATAAATTAAAAAAATCCCCTCTTCTCTAATATAAATAAATTATTACTATCCTTAAGTAATTAAAGTTTAATCTATTCTTAAAAGAACTTTATATTCTTATTAATAAGGATAATATTATAATATTACTTTATATTAATAATATACTTATTACTATACTTAATATTAAGTAAGTTAATAACTTTAAAAATAACTTATATAACTTCTTCTAGATTAAAGATTTAGGTAAGGTATAATAGTTTCTTAGGTTTAAGATTATTTACTATTAGAAAATAAAATAACTTTAGATCTTATAAACTAAATATATTAATAATATACTAATAGAGAAGGGTATTACTAGATATAACTAAGTTCTTTACCCTTCTAGTAATACTTAGTTACTAGAGATTATAGAATAATATAAAATACTTATTAAGATATATAAATATTAAAGTAATCTAAGTAAATTATAGTAGATTATAAATAGTATATAACTAGATATTATAATACCTATAAGTAGAGCTACTAGAGATTAATAATATACCTCTAAAAAGTATAATAAACTACTAAGATTAATATAGAGATATCTCTATAGTTTATAATAACTAATACTCTACTTTAGTAGTCTAAGTTATTCTATTAATAACTTTAAATTATTAGTATTCTATAATACTAGCTAGTCTAACTATAAAAGAATAAGTAAATTAATAGCTAGTTATATAATTATATATAGAGGAGTNACTAATTACTTAGAAATTAATATTATAATTATTTATAGCTATATTAACTTATAAAACTAAGTAGATAAATCTAATACCTAAAAAGAAAGCTCTACTATATATTATAGATCTCTTTAAAAGGATAAATATCTCTATTTACTTACTTTTCTAAATATATATAAATTCTATAAATACCCTTAATAATTACTTATTAAGTAAATAGTTACTTAAACTATATTATATTAAGATTAAATATTACTA